AGTAATCGCATGCGCTAGATCAGGTTAGCAGGTAGGGCCCCCGAAAAGAGTGGTGGTCCCTCCATTTAAAAAGGAAGCGCCCAAAACCAGATGTAGAGGTCCCCCACGATCGAATGGACCCGAGCACCTTATCAGAAGGGGCCCGGGCAGGAGCGTAAGGCCCTCCATTCAAATAAGAAGTACCCAAAACCGGGTGCGGAGGGCCCCGAAAGACGGAGTGTACCCCAGCAGGTTACCAAATGAACTCGATAGGAGCAGGTGGCCCTAAATCCAAACACCAGGAAACAATGTGCAGGGCCCCGAGCAATCCAGTATGGCCGAAGAGGCGAACAGAGGGGGGCCCCGACAAGTGCGTAGGGCCCATTCCAACAGCACGTGCCCAAGGCCCAATGTGTAGGGCCCCGAACGATCGAATGTGCCCGAGCAGGTTATCAGATAGGCCTCCCCACAAGAGCGTAGAGCCCCCCATTCAGAAAAGAAGTACCCAAGACCCAGTGTGGAGGGTCCCCGGACAACTGAGTGTGCCCAAGCAGACCATCAGATGGGCCCCCAACAAGTGTAAGACCCTAAGCAAGTGACAGAGAACTGTAAACGCCCTAGATCAATGTAGGCGCCCATGAGCATATCGCAAGTGTGTCGGTAGGTTAACCGAGACCCACGTAAACGGTCCCTAAGCAACCGAGAATACCCCGGCAGTTTAAGATGTGGGGCCCCGGCTATAGCCCCAGAGCCTTTCTGGCGAATGGAAAGAATCCGTGGAAGGGCCGTGATTGGCAAGAGTGCCCCGACACACTCACAGGAAGGGCCGTAACAACAGCGCAGGGCCCTCCGAGCAAATGCAAAGAAATGAAGGGCAGCGTGGAATGCTTCTTAACCATTGAAATGATCCTGCAATTGGGCATATAGGTCCTCAGAAACAGCATGAGGTCCCTAGATAGTGTAATAGGGCTTAAAATATCCAGTTCACAGCTTTTCCAATCATTAAATGATATTATGGACTTCTCATTGACCCTTCACTTTTGCTTACAACTTTTTGGTCGCCTGGAAGTCCAGAAGTACTCAGTTTTGTTGCGTTTTGCGTTAAAAAAAAACTCCACCTGTTCGGCCGGCTATGGCCCCCTCGAAGCCAATGAGCCCCTTCGGAGTCCAAGAGGGGGCATGTCCCCGTGCCCCCCCCCCCTTCTGGATCCGCCCCTGGTGCGAATGAGCGTGACGGATAAAGTTCGTTTCACAAAAGTGCGTACGCAAAAGTTCGCAGGCATTGACCGGGTAGTGATAAGTCGGTGACGATGACCTTCGTATGCGCTTAAGATCAAGAAGGCCTTTATACGAGCGCAAATGTTCGGTCAGGGATAAGGCTTGTACGACAAAAGCACGTACGTAAAAGTTTGCATGCTAATGTTTGATATAAGCGGACAAGGTTCGTTGGCAAGTGATCGTCGCAGATAAAGGCAGTTGTACACGAAATGTATTCACTTTAGGACTTTGCAGCAAACATCAGACAAAAAATAAGGCCACTTTTAACTATAAGTATATCTTGAAGAGGAAAAGCTGCTGCAATGTAATTTCTTTGTTCAGTAAACAAGCTCCTCAATACGTCCTTTTCTATTACGTCATCGTACGCTGCACAACATTGATTGAGAGTCAACTGACGGCTGTTGTATCTGCAAATCGTGCTCCCGAGGACCGGATATGATTGAATAGACAATTAGATTTTTATTGCCTTGATTGCCGCATGATCAATGGAATGGCAGGATTTGGATGACTTTATTATGGCGTCATGGATGCCTAGGTGACCTTGAAATAGTGTCGCCGAAAAATATGCACACCTTCGCGGGCGTGTAGCTCAGAAGCTGGAGGAATTTATATCTTAAAATTTCCAGGACTGTGAACATCACCGGATGATCCTCAAGATGACTTTTTCAGTTTGAAACCCGATACATATGTGGAACACTCCCAATAATAAAATTGCATATGCAAAAATCTATGCCAGTGTCTATTGAAAGAGCTCAAAGTTCGCAAGCGGATGTTCATTAAAGAGAAAGTTTGAAAAAGTACGTACACAAAATTTCATGAGCAGATAAGCCAGCGTACGTTCCAATGTCCTCACTCTTCTGTTCTTGGTGCGGCGTTTCGGCTGAATCGTCGCGGCGGGTAATCACCTCCCGCCAACCGGGAGCGGGAATGGGGACAGGGAGGGGCGGTGCACAGCAAAGATCACATGGCAGGTCAAAAATCAGAACTAGCGTAGCTCTTCATGCCGTGAAATTAAACGCCCTCCGACGACCCGCAAGCGGACCCGAATCAATGGGTGTAATGCAAAATGACTGGTATGGAACGGAACGGATGTCTAAAAATACCTCAAGAACATGCCCACTGCAGATAAGCTGTCATGATTGTTGCGCCCCCTACCCTTTCTGCACCCTGACGACGCCTCAGTCAACACCGCCGAGCGCGCCACTGACGTTAGCTGACGACGCCGGCGGTATTCAGCCGTGGCTGTGGAATACGGCGGGTAGACAGGCGAGTGACGCCTGGTTAGCTGACGACGCCGGCGGTATTCAGCCGTGCCTGTGGAATACGGCGGGTAGACAGGCGAGTGACGCCTAGTTAGCTGACGACGCCGGCGGTACTCAGCCGCGCCTGTGGAATACGGCGGGTAGACAGGCGAGTGACGCCTGGTTAGCTGACGACGCCGGCGGCATTCAGCCGCGCCTGTGGAATACAGCGGGTAGACAGGCGAGTGACGCCTGGTATATGGTCAATTATCAACACTAACCTGCGGTCCTGAGAGAAATATGCCCCGCCGTACCTGCCTTGATGCAACTTCTTTGATTATGACATCGTTTATACCCGACCCAACATTGCCCGAGGCTATAAATTTTACACAGCTCGCCGAATGGAGTACGGATATTGCAGTCCATTTCTACACCTTATATCGTCCTACGGCGGCCAAGCTTTTAAACGATGTTTGATGAGCAGTAAGGTGAATAATTGTTACCCGGGTGGTCGACCTGTCCTGCGACACTGCACGGTTGTCCTTCATGCGTTCATTCCAAGCGCTGGTCTTGACCCTACCCCTCTTCTCAATATTTTTTTTCTGGCCTGGCCACAAATGTGAACCTTTAAGCTTTTCATCTTTGGCTAGCGACCAGCGGTCAGCCAGCAGGAATTTTCGTTTTAGGGATCGAACATGTCAGTTTTGTTTGTACCGGAGTCTGTGGGAGGGATACAGGCCGCGGGCCCTCCGGCCCCGGGCGGCGCCGATCGCTCTTGATTGTCAGATGTCCGGCTACAGTCTGCGATGCCCTCCCACCACTCGCGGCGGGTGCTGCTTTTCTTGGTAGTCTTTTATTAGACGTTCCATGTAGTCGGAGGATAGCTTCATGTCTCGTTTTGTGGTGTCCTCTGTGACAAGAACGCTGCGGAAGTGAATACTTCCAGGCACCCCAAAGCAGTGATTTTGTAGGCCATCCCGATGCCTAGGCTCTGGAAAATGGCCCATGATGCAGACCCTACACAGCGTGTTCCAGCTTCATAGTGCGTCTCCTGCCGGCCCCAAGATTGGCACCAAACCCTTTGCAGTTGCGGTGCACCTCCATCCTGAGCCTAGCAAATGCCTTCCGCCGAGCGTGTTGTTGTTTTGCCTTTCGGTCACCTCGCCGCTTACGAATGCCACGAGAGCGAGCCCATGGCAGAATAAGCAATGGTGACGGCTATAGACCTTCATAGCCACCTCGGTTTCTTTCAGGTCAATATGGCGGAGTATGCTCAGATCCCTGTTACGCCTGATGTCTTTTGGCGCCGCATCTTAGACCACAGTGTAGGTGGCCACTCCCTAACGTGGAAAAGGCTTACATACACTGCATGTTGCCTCAGGTTCTCACATCTCGGGAAGGATGATGCCCAGGGTGACAATCGGTGAACCAAACGACATTTTGATGGCGTAAATCATGGTCTGTTCACCATGCTTTAAGGCCAGCGTCTGACTTGGAGATGACTTGCGTCCCCATCCCGCAAACGGGTCTCCTGGCCCATTCTGTCGACATGGAGTGCGGCCTATGGGCCGTGTTTGAGTCCACGTCGGGAGACTGCTGGTTGTTAGAAGGCGACAGGATGGGAACGGACGTCAAGGACTATGAGAAAATGCCCACTGAATACGCGACGTTCCGGTCAGGTGTTTAAAATGTTCCGACTGACGTGCCCGAAGGAAGTAGCAAGCAAGGCAGTTTTCGAAAACAGTGCGACAGGTAGCGTGAATGGCATGGTTTCCGAAAACCAAAGCCATTTGGGTGTTTGCGACTTGAAGTCTAGACCTAAAAATCAGCTCACCACATCACAATATCGCAGCAACTTGCTTATCCCCTTGGCGATATCGGGCGGCCGGTTTGTGAACCACACTTCGCAACGACCGGCCAAGTGATCTTAACTGATACCCCACGAAGTATTGGCGGCATAACCCCGTCTCCCACCCCACCTCCTTCGACGACAAAACCTCCTCTCAGAAAACAATTTGTGTGCAACCGCGCAAGCCCACTCGCATTTCACGATCCCACAAGTTGGCTTACTGACCTTCCCTACGCCTACCAAAGCCAAACATTACAGCGTTCTCTACGCCGGCCGTGCCGCCACAGCTCGGCCTCAAACCGCCCGGGCACCTGAGAATATCAGGGACACAGGTCCGGTCGACCGCCGCCACATGTTCTCACGCGACAGGACGAACAGGCCAGCTCCAGACCGCCAGGACACCGGTCTCCCAGCATCGTGTCACCGCAGAAGCCATCCATCCCTTTGTGGTTAGCAGGCGGCCGCCCAGAAGCCATGACGGCACGTCCGGCCGAAGTGGTGTGCTTTACAACCAGCGGTGCGGTCGGCCGCTCGAGGCGCGCCGGCCCGTCGCGCGGTCCCCGAGCCTGGCCGGGCGCCGGCGCTGTCAGAGCAGCCACCAGCCACCCTGCTGAGGACGCCCTGCGCGCCACACACACTCCGCAAACAGAGGAGATGCACAACAGTGTATTGACCCACAGAAACACCAGGATCTGATTAAATGCCTTTCCGAGAAAAAGGAAAATGCCGCGACAGAAGAAGTGAGCCTCTCGAACGCCCATGGCTCGAAGTCGTCGCCTCTCCCCACCCATCCATTCATCTGCCAGTGATTTCACTCATGCCTTCACAGAAAATTGGGATAAATATTTCCAGCGTATTAAAAATAAAACAGCTTTAGGCCTAACGGAGCGACCGTTGACATTACTAAACCACTGGTGGCGCCATCACTGCTGACGAGCTGTTGTCGAAGCTCAACATAGCGCATGGCCACTAGATGTCATCGATGTCGATGTCATCGTGCTCCTCGGCCTGCGGCGCCGCCGTGGAGGCGGCCGGCGGCGGAGCCTTCTTCTCCTCCTTAATCTCACGCGCGCGGTCGTCGTAGGTGATCTGGAAAGCGAAGAACAGCATTCAGCCCAACATGGATCATTGGACATGCAAATCACGCTTCACGAGATCACACAACTAATGTGAACACATCACGGTTTTGCGACAGGATAAGGAGTGAAAACACGTGACATGCAGCAACGGCATGCGCTGTCTTGTTGCAGCTTCCTGCCATGCAGGTGGTCCGTACCTCGACGTCGTCGTCCTCCTCGGTATCGGAGTCGGACTCCTCCTCCGCCTCGCGCAGCCAGTTGATGAACTTCTCGGCCTTGGCGTGGATCTCCTCGCTGACTTCTTTGCTGACATACTTCTTGCTGGGCTTCTTACCCCATTCCAGCAGCACCTCCTCGTCCAGGATGTCCAGGTCGTAGAGCTTCTGTAGGACGAAAGCGAGTGGCGTCGGCGGGTCCGAACGGCCGAGAGGAGTCACAGCCCTGGGACTGAGATGATCAGCAGGTCCACAAGGCCGATAATTGGCGCCAGAGCCGGGCCGCGGAGAGCGGACACGGCAAGACTAAGCGCAGATCAGAGACCAAGAGGCAAAGAGCAGCCGGACTCGCTGCGGAACCGGAGCCATCGACGGACGGAGGCCGGGCAAGGCGAGGCGAGGCAGGGCGCGACGAGGCGAGGGGAGGGGAGGGCGAGGCGAGGCGAGGCGAGGCGAGGAGAGCCGGGACCGAGCAAGCGGCGCCGGTACATCCGCTCCGGCCGAGGGCGCACACCTGGGCGGCGCAGACAAGGGCCGCCGTCCGGCCGGCTCCCACAGACAGGGCTTCACGGCGCCGACAGATGACGCCATAGCTATAACACGGCGCGGCCGTGGAGCAGCCCATCACGCCTCGCAGCCCCCAGGCCAACAGGCTCGAGACCAGCCACCGACCGAACAAAGGGGTACGCCGGACCGATGACGCAGAGCTGTCGGCGTCCCGCGTCGGCTGGGTATCCTCTCACAAGTGTCTCTGGCTGTTGCAGCCTCACACGTTGAGACAGGGGCGGCAGGATGGGGCGGCGCTCGTACCTTCAGGATGTGCGGCACCTTGGGCATCAGCTGGTCCTTGTAGAGGTTGATGACCTGCTCCAGACCGCCGACCAGGTACTTCTGCGCCCGTTTGTTGTCGTGCGTGAATCTGGAACGGGCGTACACGCGTCGTTACCGGCTGGCCCCAACCAAACCCGCCAGAAGCCACCAACCACAGCCAAACATCGCTTCCATGATTGCGGGAGCCAGCCCAGGAGTCCCTTTGGGAGCAGCGTACCATTGGCAGCCTACCGCCAGTCACGCGCCGGCCCCAGACATACCAAGGCTCCGCCCTGGCTGGTCTGGACAACAGTTGGTGGACCGCCTGGGCAGTAAGACGTGGTGTAACGCAAATGTGCGGAGGTTACTTGATCAGGATGCGGTGTCACGTGTGTGGTGTTTACTTGATCCGCGCGGTGCCATGTGTGTGGTGTTCACTTGACCAGGGCGCAGTCACGTGCCTGGTGGCTACTTAATCAGTACACGGCGTCACGTGTGGTGGTTACCTTATTGCCGCGCGGTGCCCTGTGTCTGGTGGCTACCTGATCAGGGCGCTGTGTCATGTGTATGGTGGTTGCTTGACACAGGAGCGCGGTTTAGCATGGTCAAATGGGCACCATGGAGCCATGTCAGCCATGGGTGGTTACCCGAGCATCAGACACAGCGTGGCCTGGGTGCAATGCCTCCCTGAGTGGCAGCATCAGACGTCAGCTGACGGTGTTACTCACCTGAGCAGCAGGACGCGGTGCTGGCCGATCTGGCTGACGATTGTGTCGTTGAAGAGCAGCTCAGAGAGCACGAGCGGCGCCTTGTCCTTGACGTCCAGACGCTCGGCCTCGGCCAGCAGGCTCTTCTCCTGGCCAGACAGCTTGCCGGCGTCGCGCCGCTGCAGCATGTACCGGTAGAAGATCTCCAGACGCTCCTGCCGCAGACAACAGGATCGATCAGGCGGCCAGCTGGTGGCGACCGACTGGCCAGCTGGCAGGACGCCGCCGTACCACGGCCAGCGCTGCCATCTGGTGACTGTCATCGCGCAAATGGTGGAAAGGTAGGTGTGCTGTTGGACAGGTGGATCAACCAAGTTGTAATGCATTGGGTACATTTTGCTTTAGGTTTTCGCAAAATAAAGCCAATGCACGTGTAAAACCCTGTGCTAAATATAAAACATAGCATACAATACAATTCGACCTAAAATAAAATTTGGGTACATGAGGTGTGAGGTTATACTTTCCACATGCTTCCACCGAATTTCCAGTTATAAGCACACCATCGCGATATCCAGAGACACATAACAATAATTTGAGTGAGGCACCCATGCACCAAAAAACGAGCGTAAATCAAACAGCAAACGAGGTACATCCCATGGACTTTCCGAACGACGTACGACGGGTCGGATCAACAGCTGCCATGGCACTGCGCTGGTCAGTGCTCAGCATAGGTCCAACAGCCGACCGGCGAGGCGGCCAGCTCTACCATGACACACACCGACAGCGATCACTAGTGAATGCGGGTGTTGGTGCGCGCGCGGCGGGCGTACCTTCTCGGCCTTCTCCAGGTCGTCGTTGATGGTGAGCCCCTTGACGCCGTCGGTGAGCTCAGCCTGGCGCCGCTGCACCGCCTCCTCCGACACGTCCACCGACCAGTCATCCAGCTCCGGCTGGCGGCACAGGCAGGCGGCGCCACGTAACCCCCCGTCGCCGCGGCAGTGCTGGCGCGCACATCCGACCTCATCACACCGGTGCACAGGGGTGCCAGCAGGCCGGCGGTCATGCACCGCTAACACGGGCGAGCCAGTACGCCCCGCTGCGCCGTCCACGTGTCCCAGGGAGCGTGTAACTTAGATGTGAACGCGTCAGAGCACTGCTGCCGGGCACTACAGCCAGAGCTGCCTGGGAGTCCACCGCCAACGAGCCCCCACCTTGGCAGCCGGCGCGTCGGTGGACCACCCCTCCAGCTGTTCGTCGCCGTCCTCAGAGTGATCGCTGCCCTTCTCGTCGCCGTTCGACTTGCCCTTCTTCCCCTTCTTGGCCTGCAACAGCCGGCACGGTGCACTGGCGGCTCAGCCTGGCACGGCACGCCGCCTCGGGTGACGGGGCTCACCGACGGGCGGCTTCCCTCGCGCCACCAATGGCGGCTCAGCCTGGCACGGCCCGGGTGACGGGGCCCACCGACGGGCGGCTTCCCTCGCGGCACCAATGGCGCTCCCCCCACGGCCTCCAGCGGCAGTGAGCCTGGCACCACACGCTCTGGTGATTGTCCTGTGTATGCATCAGGGAGGCAGGTGGCTCTGCTTCTTGCAGGCGCCCTTAGGCGATGGCCATCGGACACACAGAGCGTGGCGGCGACACACGTCAAGCCAGCCGCACAACGGGGAAAACGAATGAATTAAAATCTAGGAATGCATTCGCACCATCAGCAGTATGTCGACGCCGTAGGCTTAACCAACGACTGTATATGCCACGCGATAACACTCGATGTTTGGTGGCTTTACGAGCACATCAGCTTCTGAGGTCATTTCGCGCTCCGTGATTTACCCTTAACAAAATAGCCACCGGAGATAAGACTGGATGCGTATGCACTCACTCCCCCCCCCCCCCCCCCCCCATCTACCGACATAGCGTATCACAATTTAACGTCCCAGCCCGACCCCAGCCGCAGCAGTGCCGCTGTAGCTGGTCGCACGTACGGCGCGTTTGGTGAGTGATTTGCCCGACTGGGTGGGGTCGGCATCGGGCGGGTTCTTCAGGATGAAGGTGGTCAGCTTATGGCGCATGTCCAGCATACCCTGGTAGCCGCAGGCCTTGCAGCTCTGGCCGATCACACCCTTCTTCTCGCGAACCTGGCGGCAGCGACGCCGGCACACCGGTCAGCGGGTGGTTCACACGGAGACGGGCGGTCTGCCATCCCGGCCCATCGCCTCCCAGTCAACAGCACACGGCAGACGGGCGGTCTGCGATCCCGGCCCATCGCCTCCCAGTCAACAGCACACGGAGACGGGCGGTCTGTGATCCGGCCCATCGCCTCCGAGTCAACAGCACACGGAGACGGGCGGTCTGCGATCCCGGCCCATCGCCTCCGAGTCAACAGCACACGGAGACGAGCGGCCTGCGATCCCGGCCCATCGCCTACCAGTCAACAGCACGCAGAGACGGGCGGTACGCGATTCCAGCCCCAACAGCGACACCCAGCCGGCGTCACATGGAACCACGGAGCTGTATACAGTTCGGGCCGGTCTGATGTATCGCGCCCCAGCCCGTGTCCCGACGGGCTGAGAGACGTCTGCTCGGCGCGTGACCTGGACCAACCCCCCTTACCCTGCCGCTCCGTCAGACGCCCACCACTGCCCCGGACAATGACGGCGGCGGCGCGGGCCTGCTGCACCACACTAGGCGCCGTCACTCGGCCACGCAGCGGACGCCTCCTACCGCGCTGCACCCGCTTCGAACAGGCTGCACCACCGGCCTCCACCACCCGGTCGACCAGCCGCAGTGCATTGCCACGCACCATACAGGGCGGGCTGTCGATGACAATCCGATGCCCGAGCTTGAAACGATCTGGGCGTATGAGTGCCGCTAAACATTTCATCTTGTAACTGCCTTCAAATGACCGTATCTTTTACGACTGACCTCCCTCCACCCGACAATTCAATGACTGACCTCCAACTAGCCCTGGTTACGCACCTGCAGCACTGTCTCTGGGTTATCGCAGCCGGGGCACAGCACGAACTTGCGGATGAAGCCATCCAGCATGTCCTGCAGCTTGGAGGCGTCGTGGGCGCCGTTGACGATGTAGCGGTCGTTCTTGCCGTCCATCAGAGTCTGGGCACCCAGCTCGCAGCCGAAGTACTTGCAGGGGTCTGCCGGGCGCACGTGGTCAATGGCCGTCCCAAGGCACGGCTCGGGGACCAGTGTACGTCCAGCCCACCCACTCAGCACCTGACTGTGGCGGCACAGATCAAACCAATCATTAGCGCCGATTATAATTGCTGTGCCATACGTCTTGTACTGCTTGGCACTATGCATCAGATGCTCAGTTAATGGAGACCTTAGTGATCCCATGACCCGGAATAAGTGTTTTCCACCCGCATTCGCAAGTCCGTGTCCATCAGATCCAGCCATGGTGGACAGCAGCAGTGACTTAACGGCTCTCCGGCCCGCAACATGGCACGACATACAGCTGAAGCACCGACACCAGTGACCAAACGGGCGCGACGCGAACACTACGCCGTCGATCATGAGCCAGCTGGTCGACGGTACTCACAAGAGGGAGGGCGGCACAGCGCCTTGGCCACCTCCGTCATATTGACCACCACCGTCTTGATGCCGTTGCCCTTGCCCTCGACTTTGGCCAGGAGGCGCGGCATCTTGTAGCGGTAGAAGACGTCAGTGACACTGGTGTTGACGTTAAGCGCCATGGCGAGGCGGCGTCGGGTGCGGCGGGCGCTGGGAGGAGACGGCGGTCGTGCGTCCCGAGCGGGGCAGGTCGAGCGGGCCGAGTCCGAGTCACGAAATGGTGAGTGCCGGCCGGCGGCCGAGTCGAGCTATCTGCTCTGGGATCTGACTGTTCCTGCCGCAAGACACACGCAAGCCACGTCAGTTGGGATCTGACTGCTCCTGCCGCAAGACACACGCAAGCCACGTCAGTTGGGATCTGACTGCTCCTGCCGCAAGACACACGCAAGCCACGTCAGTTGGGATCTGACTGCTCCTGCCGCAAGACACACGCAAGCCGCGTCAGTTGGGATCTGACTGCTCCTGCCGCAAGACACACGCAAGCCACGTCAGTTGGGATCTGACTGTTCCTGCCGCAAGACATGCCGCAAGACACACGCAAGCCACGTCAGTTGGGATCTGACTGTTCCTGCCGCAAGACACACGCAAGCTGCGTCAGTTGGGATCTGACTGCTCCTGCCGCAAGACACACGCAAGCCACGTCAGTTGGGATCTGACTGCTCCTGCCGCAAGACAACACGCAAGCCGCGTCAGTTGGGATCTGACTGCTCCTGCCGCAAGACACACGCAAGCCACGTCAGTTGGGATCTGACTGTTCCTGCCGCAAGACACACGCAAGCTGCGTCAGTTGGGATCTGACTGCTCCTGCCGCAAGACACACGCAAGCCGCGTCAGTGCAGATCCACACACGTCTGACAACCAGGACGCTTCAAACACCACGCCAGCAAAGAAACGATGCCACTGTAGGACAAACTATAGCTCGAGACCATGTATATATCTGAATCGTACGCTATGAGCAAAACATGGGCTTAACAAGCGAACGTGTGTGGAGCCCAACACGCGTGTGAGAGCACGGCGGTACGACGTACCGCTGGTTGGTTCTGCTGGGGAGACAACAGTCTGGTGACATACACCTAGCTGAGGTGTGCCCGACCGGGTCGGCAGGATGAACAGATAACAGTCCCTGGAACTTCCGTTGACCTGAAACAAGGCCAGCGCGCGTCAAACATAGGCAGCCAACGTTCGTTCGGACACCACAGGCAGCACCACAAGCCCGACTGGGGTACACGAGCCACAGTTATCGATCTAGCATATCAACCAAATTTGTTAGCAATGAAGCCGCGTTTTCGCTCGAATTTATTGGGAGGAACGTCGACGCAGGTAACCCGTTCCAAGAACTAAATCCTCATTCATACCAGGAAAATGGTGCAAAAATTTGTTTTTCGGAGATCTATTTTGATGCAAAAATGCTAACTGATGTTTATTCGCTGCTAAACATAAACTTACTCAATGTTCGGTAGCTAAATTTGCTAAACATGTGCATTAATGGCACATTTTGCAACATACGAAGTCAGCCAGAGAATATTTCTTTGAGCACGGGTGGCCCGCCATACGGCCGACGTTGGCGCCACTGCCGATGTCCGAGTCCCGTCATGAGTGCGGGCTCGGTACACCGCATTCTAGCGAGCCTCTTCAGCCGCCGAGCATGTCGACCTTGAGTCCTCCACCGCACACAGCCGCGGTGGCGAGACGCTGTCAGTCCCGACAGATATTACCCCGGCTCACATCGGGGCTGCACACGGATGCGCTCATGGCTGAGAACTGATGCGACTCGACGCTGCCCACCACTCAGCCCCAATCGCATGGGACTGCCGCCCACAGTTCAACTCCATATAGTTGGCACATTATGTATCGAGGCCGGGTCACCTGGTCGCTACCAAATCATGCACATCGATGGCGACGCGTCTATGTCGGGCAACCGACCAAAGGTCGCTGAAGTTAAAAACAACATTCTAACCACTCCTCCGCCAGTTACGTATAAAAGTGGGGTAAAACGTACACCCTAAGTCCACGCATCCTTCCTGTTTGTGCGTGCATATATTATTGAGGGCCGCATGTCATGCGGTATTGATATATTGAACGTTGTCTGTGACCCCCAGTTTGGTTCACGTGGCACCCACCAGACGAAAGGAACGGACCGCCTTCCCGCGCTAGACGAACGCAACGCCCTTAGCAGCGGCACCGACTCATCGGCGCCGGCTCGCGCCAGCCGCAAGCTCCGGCAACAACACCAGGAGACGGGGGTGGCGGCCGCGCCCCAGACGGCACGAGACAGCAGTGGCAGCCCCCCCCCCTCAACATCATATGAGCGCTGATTTTAGAAACGAGGGCAGTGGCGTCATGACAGCCCACCTGAAACTCGCCGAGCCATCCAAGCGCGTCACCAGATAAGCGTCGCCGTCTAGCGTCGCCGCCGTGAGTGCCCCCAGCCCATGCCGCACTCAAAACACCGCGCTTCCACGGCGGAGCGACCTTCAGGACGGCGACCTTCCCGATGGCGGTCCGGTGTCTGGTGCCGGCCCACATCGCGTGTGATGTCGGCCAACGGTCGGTCGAACAATACACGCCCGGCGCCTGTAATTGGCTGCTCGACGAGCCAGCTCCTGCTCAGCACGCGACTCATTCGACACGGGAAAACATCCGCTCATCGCCTGCTGATAACGCAGCCGTGACTCTGGGAAGAATGGGACGCACGGTGACGTATCCTGCATGCATCAGTAGCCGAATGGCAGGAGCCACGGGCGGCAGGGTGGGCGGCGCGCCCCGATGCGGCGCCGCGGCCCTGCTAACCCGACACTGGGCGCCCGGGCGGCCGACACCGCCCCGGTTAGGGCTCCGGCTGTCGCCGTGTGGCGGACGTCTGATCGGACACGTGTTACATGCCGGCACCCAGACCTGGTGCGGTCTCGTCTGCGGCCGCCGCCCCGGCTGTCGCCGTGTGGCGGATGTCTGATCGGACATGTGTCACATGCCGGCACCCAGACCTGGTGCGGTCTCGTCTGCGGCCGCCGCCCCTAGCCCGACAGCCGGCGGCGGCGGCCGCGGTGGCAGTGACGGGCCACGGTCGGCCGGCGCCGCGGCCGCCCAATCGACGGAACCCGACAATGACCGGCTAAAAATGGCACCGCCGGCGCGCCTTGCAGACGGCAGACGTGCCGCTGACCCGGCCGATGGGCCGCCGCCACCACCCAGCCGCCCAGCGACCGCAAGACCTTCGACGAGCCCCACCGTGCCGACCGACCGCACCACGCGCGCTGGAAGCATGGTCACCCCACAGCCCCGGCCACAGCTGACAACACTGCAATGGGACTGCCGTGGCCGAATCCGCAGTGTGAACGCTCGGCGCAGAGCCACGTCACGCATTTCATGCGCGCTCCATGCGAGCAATCTCCGGCACGGAAAGCGGTGCCGAGACGACGATGGGCGGCTGACAATTGCTGCTGAGCCCTACCTATGCCATACCCGTACACCCCAAGGACTCGGGCTGTACACCCTCGGTGGCTTCCACGTGACTTCTTCAAGAAATCATCTTTCGACGGCACCAGTGAGGGTGCAAAATGACCGCGGCCGTTGAGGCGCTCCAGGACGCGCTCCATACCGAGCGCACCAGTGCCCGTTCGGCCGGCTTTCTGTTGGCCAGATTCTCGTCCAGAGCAGCCTGGCCGTCCCAGGCCGGCCGGGGCGATATTACGGAAGCTGGACGCCACGGCCAGCTTGCGGCGTGTGTCGGGTCCGGGAGTAAACCGACGGCGGCCGGCAATAACCGGCCATCGATTGGCGGCCCAAGCCCGCTCACAGGCCGGCCGGCGCCGCGGCCGGCCTGTGACGCAGCGGCGGCCGGCAGGGTACCGACACAGACCGAGGCACCAGCTGACCGGCGGCCGGCAGGGTACCGATACAGGCCAAAGCACCAGCTGACCGGCAGGGTACTGACACAGGCCGAAGCACCAGCTGACCGGCAGGGTACCGACACAGGCCGAAGCACCAGCTGACCGGCAGGGTACTGGCCCAGACCGAGGCACCAGCTGACCGGCAGGGAACCGGCATAAACCCAGGCACCAGCTGACCGGCAGGGCACCGGCCCAGACCGAGGCACCAGCTGACCGGCAGGGTACCGGCCCACACCGAGGCACCAGCTGACCGGCAGGGTACCGACACAGGCCGAAGCACCAGCTGACCGGCAGGGTACCGGCCCAGACCGAGGCACCAGCTGACCGGCAGGGTACCGGCCAGACCGAGCACCAGCTGACGGCAGGGCCGGCCCAACCGAGGCACCAGCTGACCGGCAGGGTACCGGCCCAACCGAGCACACCAGCTGACCGGCAGGGCACCGGCCCAGACCGAGGCACCAGCTGACCGGCAGGGTACCGGCCCACACCGAGGCACCAGCTGACCGGCAGGGTACCGGCCCACACCGAGGCACCAGCTGACCGGCAGGGTACCGGCCCAGACCGAGGCACCAGCTGATCGGCAGGGTACCGGCCCAGACCGAAGCACCAGCTGACCGGCAGGGTGCCGGCCCAGACCGAGGCACCAGCTGACCGGCGGCCGGCAGGGTACCGGCCCACACCGAGGCACCAGCTGACCGGCGGCCGGCAGGGTACCGGCCCAGACCGAGGCACCAGCTGACCGGCGGCCGGCAGGGTACCGGCCCACACCGAGGCACCAGCTGACCGGCGGCCGGCAGGGTACCGGCCCACACCGAGGCACCAGCTGACCGGCGGCCGGCAGGGTACCGGCCCACACCGAGGCACCAGCTGTCAGGCGGCCGGCAGGGTACCGGCCCAGACCGAGGCACCAGCTGTCCGGCGGCCGGCAGGGTACCGGCCCACACCGAGGCACCAGCTGACCGGCGGCCGGCAGGGTACCGGCCCACACCGAGGCACCAGCTGTCCGGCGGCCGGCAGGGTACCGGCCCACACCGAGGCACCAGCTGACCGGCGGCCGGCAGGGTACCGGCCCACACCGAGGCACCAGCTGACCGGCGGCCGGCAGGGTACCGGCCCAGACCGAGGCACCAGCTGTCCGGAGGCCAGCAGGGTACCGGCCCACACCGAGGCACCAGCTGTCCGGAGGCCAGCAGGGTACCGACACCGACCAATACACCACCTGGTGCCGCTCCCAGGAACCACCCAGTCTCAAGGTCAGAATTTGGGGTAGTTTTCGAAGTTTTGAGGCATTGGGAAACTTGTTCCCCAAAAGTCGAACTGGATAAGATGTCCGCAATAACAAACCCCCGAAGATGTGCTTCCGGGAGAACTATTTCGGGGTCACTCGAGCATCCATGACGCCACGGTAACGTCAATCGAATTCTGTTTTTCTATTTGTCATGCGGTGATCAAGGATAAGAAAAAAAATCGCCATGCCATTCATATCTGGCGTTCGTGAGCACGATTTTCAGATAAAACGGCCGTCAGTTCGACATCAATCAACGTTGTGCAATGTATGATGGGCTAACCAAACAATGACGTATTGGGGAATATATTAACCAAACGGAGAACTTGCGTTATCTACAGCAGTTTTTCCCCTTAAAAGCATACCAACAGTTTCAAGTGTGCTTACTTCATCATATCTGTTGCTTGCTTCAATATCTTCAAAGCTGCAACATTGCCTTTGACGAATAGGCTGTGCATGAGTTGAAAATGATGGAGCCCTTATGGATCGGTACCCTGTAGCACTGCCATGGTTTGCTGTTATGATTGTAGTTGGTGTATGCTTTGGTAATACGATTCAGGTTTGTTCTCAAGGCAATATTTGACGAAGTTTCTCACGAACCGCTGATATAATTCTGTTCTCGTATAAGGGGAATGGTACACATTTGAAGAGTCCTCGATTGCGTCATGGAACATTGGAATGCCATTGGGGTGCAGCCAAACTGGCGCGCGAAATTGCCACCCCAGCGCTCACTCCCATACCTTCCCGCCAGTGGTGGCAGGCAGGTATTGGTAAATATAGGTATATATGGAAGTACCGCTATTGAAAGTGTTTGCCGAGCCAAAGCCGTGAGTTTAAGGTGTTTGCTTCCTTTCATATTATTGGTCATGGCAATGCTCGAGCGATTCCATTACACATAGTATTTCCGTAAGAAGTAGGAGTCCAAGTCCAACTTGTGTCAATGCCATAATTCTTATACTTTATAG